CACGGGTAATGTAGGCCGACGTGGGCCCTTTGGATCCCCGTGAGCCCAACACTCACACTTCCTGGGAACTGCTTGGACTGCTGACCGCTTTTCACTACTAAAATATGACACAAACTCTGCAGTGACGGCCCACGGACCTAAAGGGCCCATGGCCCGGATGAAAAATAAAGAATAAAGTCTTGATCAATCCCTTTTGGGGGATGCGGCACGCTCATGACCCGGGTTACATTGTTAAAAGAAGAGAACCGACCCTAGATCGTGCCTTTAGCTTACAAGACCGTACCCTAAAACTGCATCAATATACGCCTCAAAAATACATTGAAATTGGGATATTATATTTTAAAAAGAGGTTACCCAATACTAGACACTCATAAACAGACATAGAGCCTAGTTCACAGCGGACGCTGGGGGCATGTCAAGGGGTCGGAAAGGGGGAGATATGAGTGGGTTTGGCGCGATGCGAGCTAATTTGGAGCGAGCAAGCGACAATAATTGGTGGGAAACGGGTTGGCGCCGCGCCAAAATGAGCCCCCAGGCACGCGCCACCATCAGCAGAGAACAGGACTATAACATGCGCAGATAATTTTGCGATTTTGTTATTAAATGCTCAAAATTCGATAATTATGTTATTTTACTGTCCTTTTAGTGACCACACAGCCTGGGAAAGTTCAGCGATTTTGTTTTTCCAGACAAGAACGACGAATCGGAAGGAATTCCAATTTTGGCCCGCGGTCTTCACCAATTCCCGTTCACTTTTGAGTTACCACAGACAACACTGCCATGTTCGCTGGAAAGTCGGCACGGAACCATCCGATACTATATCAAGGTGAGTCACTGAGAGGACTTAGCTGTTGAAAGCCGATTAAGACACCTTTCGAGATTTTCAAAGGAAAACAGAAACCAATCCCAGCAACAGCTCGGGATAAACATGGCTTAATTAAGCGGGAGCGAATGCAATAAAGGCGCGTTTCTCCCAGAAGTTATAACAGAATCATAACTGACCAAATCAGGGCTCGGACCAGATTTTCTCAGCCTTTGATTGTGCAGGAATAAGCGATAAGACGAAGGATAAAATTGGGTTCAGGGAAAGAGATGAATAATAAGAAATCAAGCTAATGACTACGATAGAATTTGAATAGACGAGATGAAGAATTTTTCATTGGTACTTGCCGACTTAGTGGGGAGGGGCATTATCAGGGTCAAGGATCCGTGAAGGATTCCTCAAGGGAGGGGTCGTATTTGGCTGGTCGAAGAGAGAGGTTGGGCATGTGGAGGAGTCAGTGGTCAACAAAATTGTGAAAAGACATACAAAAACAATGAAAAGACATGAATGAGACATAAATGTTAAAGCTAATGAAGGTGCCAACGGCCCTATTCCGCGAAATCACTTGTTATAGTTCATAATTTCCAGATAAAGTTGAAACTGTGGTACGGTACTAATTTTTTGCAAAAATCGCGAATCTTGTGCTTTACACAAGATTATAAGTTCAGGAAGTCAAGGTGCATACAGTACCTCCGGAAATTGAAATTAAAAGTGCTGGGCCGCGAACGCACACAATTGGGCACACCGTAGTGTCAAAAGGCACTCTTCAATTATTACTACCCCAATCTTCCGAAATCAGGCCAGATTTTTTTACTTTTTTCCAAACCGCCAGGAGCTGGCGCCATGGGCGCCAAATGGCGTCAGCGCCAAACTAATGCGACACCGTGATCAAGGTATTTGGGTACCTTTATAGGCGACGTTTGTGTAGAAAAATTGGCACCGGCACTTGTGGTGCAGGCGCCAGGAGGTTTCGGCCAAGCGGATGTGGTTTTCATGTTTAGAAGGTCAAGCCACCCCTGGAGACAAGTTTTCAGTGAATTTGGTGATTTAGGCTATTCTGTTCAGCTTCATGCCAAGCGGATGTGCTATTCGTGTTCAGAAGGTTGGACTACCTCTGGAAGTGAAAGAATATTTCGGGTTAACAGTCGTACGGTTCCATTTAATCTCACCGTATGCTCGATACTGTGCATTGACGGCCTGACACATTTAATTTTCTTCTTCGCTGGGAAAAATTTTCAAAGCCCGTTTTCCTTCAAATAGTCAGCATTTATGAATGATTTTCTGAAGAGTACAAAGGGGTAATCTTCTACTGTTCAGCGGTTTTTGTTCTTCCCTCAGTTCTCTATTGTTCGCGTCAGGACCCCTGGAAAATTGAAAACTCGCGTGCTCAAGAAATTTTCGCCGTTGAGCCGGAAAAAATCCTCAACGGCGGAATTTTCCGAATAACAGTCTTTCATCAACGTTTTAGTGCTTATTAGAAGAGGGAATTTGTAGCCAATTTGGGAGCAAAATTTTGAATCGCGCATAAACCAAAATTTGAAGGTGAGTGGAAGAGTGAGTGGTACTGGGGGTTTTGTTCCCTCTACCACTGCTCCATTCGTCCTAAAAATGAGGCCGCGGTGCGTTTCTTGTGAGGGTGATTTTGTAGCAAGTAGCTGTAGCCCAAGAAGCAACACAAGCCGCGTTTGCTGCGGATGACGCGGCGTGTCACTGAGGCTTGATTATCGCTGTTAGTCCGTTCTGCACCAGTTGCTGAAGGGGTTAAGCCTGACAAGCAAGTGGCGACAGGGCGTGGAATAAGCTGTCGGCTGCTTGAGAAAAATGAAGTGGCTGGCCTGCGCTATGTATCTCTTAATACGCCCCATTATCCCCAGCGAACGGCAACGCTGTACAGCTGTTCTCGTTTTTTTTTTGGTAATACAGAATGATTATTTCAGGTGATAATCGACATTCCATACGCATCCTCACCTCAAGGCATTAAGTACTTCACCATTATTGGGCCTCATCTCGATTGCATGGAAGAAAAGTACCTTGTTAGTTTTTCATTCCCTTATTACTACTGAGAAAATAACTTTTTGCATCATTGAATGTATTAAGAGCTCCCTGTCTGGGCAAGACCGTAAGACGACGTGTTGTTGGTGCTGCAGACGGGGAGCGTTGGCCTTACGGGTCGTACTCGATAGGACGGCATACGTTTGTGGAGAGAACATTCGTGTACGTGCACAGGTAAATCTGCTGTATTTCTTTTCCTTTTTTTGTTAGAAAAATGAAGCAGTGACAAGTTTCGCGTAGTTCGCGCCTTGGAGGTAGGGGGGTGTAAGTCCACCAGGCTGTTACCGCATCAAGATTTGTACAGGCTGCAGTTAGCCTTGTGAACGCTTGGAATCTCTTAAACCCGCTGAAGCGGCTCATTTGCACCATTTGTAACTTCATAAGAGTTAGCCCCCCCAAGGTCTAATGAAAGTGAGACTTAACTCTTAACATGAAGTAGGCGAAAAAATCAGCGAAAGTGGCAAGAAATGAGCCCCTCGCCTCGCCCACCCACTTGGGCCGAGTCGTTGGCGTCTACGAGTTCTGAAGGCATTCTATGTAAGTGGAGGGTAGAGCATGCGTGATGTGTGAAATGGTGGTAACAATACAAGCCCGGCCGCTACCTTGAAGGAGGGCACGGTCCACTCCCTTCTCTCCGACACCTATCTACCACTTTCGCTACAGGTTTAAAGCTTCAGGGCCACCTTTTTTCCAAAATTTCCCGCACATTATCAGTTTTTTCATCGCGAAAAATTTCCCGGTGAAGGCGGTATGATAGCCAATAAGAGACGGCGAAAACGCGCTGAGAAGTCAACGACAGAAAAAAATGCTGCCTCCCGACAAAATCCTCTGCCAAAAGCGCATACGAATCCCTCCCCATCAACGACCAAATACGCGCCCATTCCTCCCCAAGCGACAAGTACGACCCCGCCCCCCATGTGCCTTCGCACAGCGATGGCATGTACCTGATTAGGGTTGCTTCGTGTAAAACAAAGGCTTCGCCTCTGCTTCTACCGAAAATCGACAGGGATGGCTACACTTTCATAACCCTAACGAGACGCCGAAATGGGCCAGAAATGTCTCATGACTTCTCAGTGATTTCGTCTATCTCTCGCTATTTGATTGCCCTTCACCAAATGCGGGAGTCAAGGCCTTCTTTCAACATTCCTCTGTCCTCGCCGAGGAATACAATGCCGAGTATGTAGCGCTACAGATTACCTTTTGGCTAGTCTCATTTTGCTTTGTTGCCTTTGCTGGCTTCTTTTGTTTTTTTCATGCTTCATCCCTCTACTGGGCTGCACTTTGTTTCTTGCAGCGGATTAAGAATTCTCGCTATACAGCGGCCGACAGCATTCGTGTTTGTGTTGAGAATGGTGGCTTCAGATAGGGTCCTCATCTCCTCCGCTACCTAAGAGGCCAGGCCAATCTTTCACTACATGTTCCCAGTTCCTATCCAGTTTCTTTTCGCGCACAATCTCCCGCATTTTCCAGCTGTTGTCACTCTAGTTTTTAGTTTCAAATTTTCCGTCGAGGTGGTGGGGGGGGCGGGTGGAGGATATATCGCCGATGTGGAAAGGAAACCGCGAAAAAGTCAACAACCCGGAAAAAAGTGTCGCCAGCAAGTTTCTCTCAAGCCACATACACCCTGCCCCCCTCCCATTCGCTATGTACGACCCACCTCCCTCCCCCCTGTGTTTTCACACAACGATGCTGTACTTGCCAGGAACCTAGTGTGGGTTATCCGCTCCTTCCCGTTTAGCCGTGTCTGTGAATAAAGCGCGGCTCTTCCTTGACGTCCATGTCAGAATTTGACGGGCCTGCAAATCTGAGTGCTCTGCGAATGGACATCCTACTATATATAAACCGGCGACGTCTGTCTGTCTGTCTGTCTGTCTGTCTGTCTGTGTCTGTCTGTCTGTCTGTCTGTCCGGAAATTCGGAATCACCTGAAGAGCCAGTTGGAGGGGGCGGGTCAAGGGTGGGTTGGGTAGGGCATGGCCAAGATGTGGCGAACACATATGAATCAAAGCTAGGCTGCCATCACTGTGGGGTGGCGTGCGCGCATTTGTGAGCTACAAATTTCAAAAAGTAGATTTGGTTCCAAAGTAGGCTCCAAGAGCGAAAAAGTGCGAAGCAATAGGGCAACGCGGTTTGTCGTCGAAATGAGTGAGAACAAAGCCTTTTTTGGCGGGCTTCTATAGGTGGCGGGCGGTGCTTGCTAACAAAACTTTCAAAGTTGCAGTTCGGTTCAAAAGAGCTCCGGAGAGCGGAAAAAAGTGCAAACGCTAGGCAATCTGTGAATCAGATGAAGGCGATCCCTGGCGTTCGGCGAAAGTGAACGTGCCGAGGGCAAAGATCTTCAAAACGCCTACGAAAAACCACACAAAATGGGGAGTAAGGTGAAACTGAGCAGTGGTTTGTCAGATGAAGTTAGTGAGGGATAACCCTACACAGTGCACCAAATGGTTGCTACCGTCTGCAATAGTTAATTCTGCGATTCCTCATCACTAAGGGGAGTGCCGCATAGAAAATTTTGACGACTGTCTGGGGTTACAATACTTACAAGAAGTGAAAACGGTAAAGTAACCTGATCTCAAAACAAAATTTTTTCGACCATCGATCCGACTGGCCCTCCCACTCATGGAAAACTTCTCACCGGGACCCACTTCACACGCGGAAGGAGGATCGGCCAGCGAAGCCGGCCGATCCGACTGGTCCTGTATAAAATTGTAGAGGAGCGATGATTTAGTAACCCCTGTAGCGCTTCATAATCACTAAGTCCAGGGATCAAATCCTGGACCGAGTCCAATCCGGACCAGCTAAGCCTCCTCGTAATTTCAGACATAATTAGGGATCGGTTTGAAAATTCGAAGCGTCTGTCTCTATCACATACAAGGCACGTCGTACGTTAGGGAACAAAAGGCGAGAGGGCTTTTGCTGTGATGTGCTTCTGAAAAAATGTTTTGGGTTTATTTAATTATTTATTTCCATACTCTCAAGGTGTGCACACAAAAATATTCAAAAAATAAAACCGTGAAAAGGAACTATGGCGAAAAATGCAAATGGCCTTGATGGATTGTTTGGCTTTTCTTGGTTCTTCCCGTAATACATATCACCCGCCCCATCCCCTTGCCCAAGGCGGTTTTTACGGGGAGAAAAATAGCGAATCTTGTGATTTTTTTAAAGGAAAAAACTGATGGACGCAAGGAAAAAACTGGTGGAAAGTCGGATCGAGAAGGGGTTTTACCGGAGCTGTATCAGAGGAGAAGGTCCTGAGGGGGTCGTGTCCTGCGAAATTTTTTCCCAACGCCATTACCTGCCCTGCTTATACATAGGACAGCCCTCTCAAGTCATTATATAAGCCAAGTCGCCTTCAAATGGTTCTCTACTTTCAACTGGCGTACAGAGCATGGTGCATCCAAAAGCAAGCAATCTGCGCTACATACTTTATTTCTGCCGTCGCAGCAGTGCGTCATGTCAGCGTTCCCTGCTCCGATTGTGGTAATCTATCGCAATAGCGGTCGTTGATTAATGCATAAGTCGAGCAGGAGAAATGGCTTGAATAATCGCTTTCATTCACTGAAATGGGCAAAGCTCCTACGAGCTGCTGAGAAAAGAAAAAAATTATTTGTGAGTATTAGAGAGCAGGACGCAGGGGTGCTTAGGCAGGAGGTTCGCGGCTACTCTTGAGAAAATCTTTCCCGCAACGCGTAGAAAAAATTTTCAGTCTGTTATTTTTCCCATTTCCGACGCAGAGAGTGGGGATCGTACTGCAAACGAAAATTTGGGTGATCAGGAGGGGGTTGTACTGACCGCCATTTCACCCAGCCCGATGCTGAACCCTAGTAAAGAGATAGAAGGATGTGAGCTTCATGGAATTTCCTTTTTTTCAATTCTCCCCTAAATTCAGTCTTAAGTTCGAAAAACAAGGCTTTGAAAGACATCTCGAACCCCCAGAGTGACTTGAGAGATCTGCATGCCTTTTCGAAATTATTTTCTGGAAATATTACTAATGTAAATATTGATTTCTACTAACTACTATAGCCAAACTACTATAGTTTACAGTAATTGACCAGGGGCATGTGACAAGAGAATCGTAATTCACCGCGCTGGTGGCGTCGCGTGCGACGTCGCGCCCGCAAATGACGATGGTTCCAGGTAGTAGATGGCGACAACAGGCAATTCAGAACCGAAAATAGTCATGAATGTCTACGATGACGGGGTCTACATGAAGTCCGGTGCTCAATCGACAGGTTAACACGAGTTAAGAAAACGCCGCGCCCATCGCCGCGCACGCGGAGCGGCGAATCGCGATTCTCTTGTCCATCTCCCATTGACCATCTGTAAATATTGATTCATCCCTTCATTCATTCAAGGTAGAAAACCGGCAGTCATCACAACAAATGATCTCGATTCGACTTATTCAACATGTGGAGTTCTTTATCGATAAAGGTGTCCTCGGTGAAAGCAAAATGCTCACATGCGTCGTCTTCGAACACAAGTATGAGTTATTTTATTTACTTTTAGTTTTTAAAAAA